GGTTGGCGCAGGATAGAGCAGGGTTTAGGGCTGTTGTGCATAGGGTCGCTATGAGTCGCAAACGACTCGACGGCACATAACAGCAACAACATTGGTTTGCTTACAAAGTTCATAAACATTTTTTCACACTAGATCTTTCCTATTTCCTAACCTATTCCTCCCTCTACCCATCAAATTGTGTAACTCAATGATTACCTCCCTCCCCATATTCATTCCTCTGCTCCTCCCCTTCCCTCCTTGGATCCTCATAGACGATTTACTAGATATCTTTCTTTTTCTACCATCATGGTGTTATACAATATTTGTCCTTATGGGACTGAATTAGTTCACTTAACCTTCCAAGTTATATAGTGATTTTCAAAATCATTGCTTCTGTGTCCTTTGTAGTATTCCATCGTGTGAATGTACCACAATTTCTTAATCCATTCAGTTGTGGTTTGGTATTTTGGCCATTTTCATGTTGTTAGATGGTGAATAATTCTGTTAGGAACATTGGTGTACTGATCTCCATTTGTGTCTCAGTTTTGTTTCCTAGGAATCAGTTTGAATTAACCCTTAACTCCACACTTAGGACAGAGATGAAATTGATGGTGCCCCTTGGACCACAGAGGATCCTTACTAGTGCTCGTCGTTGGCTACTAACTCCAAGTCAGAAGTTCAACTTAACCAAGCCACTCCTTAAGAGAGAGTTGTATCATTCTGCCTATGTAAAGATTTACAGCCTTGGGAACCTTATGTAAAGTGGTTGTTGATGTTATGTGCCATCAAGTTGCCTGCAACTCATAGCAACCCTATATATAACAGCCCTAAACCCTGCTCTATCCTGTGCCATTCTTATTGTCTCTGGGACACCTACCCCCATTACCCCAGTCATTGAATCAATCCATCTCATTGAGGATCTTCCTCTCTGCACTGTCTCTGCACTGTCCATCCACCCTCCTAAGCATGACATCCCTCTCCAAGGACTGGCCAACCCCTCATTGCAACATGCCCAAAGTATATCACACGAAGCTTCAGAATCCTTGCCTTCAAGGAACAGCATAGTCATACCCTCTCTTAGTTAAACTTGTTTGTTCTCATGGAAGTTGATGGTAAATACAATACTCTTCTCCAGCACTACAGCTCGAAGGCATCAATTCTCCCTCTGTCTTCCCTAGTCATTGTCCAGCTTTCTGATTCATAGCAAGTAGTTGCAAGGACTATGGCATGGACCAGGTGTACTTTATTCTCTAGACTGACATCGTTGCTCTGTAGTTCTTTGGAGAGGTCTCTGACAGCAGACTTTTCCAGTGCAATTCATCTTTTGATTTCCTGGCTGCTGGTACCAAGAGTTTTGATTGTGGAGCCAAGCAAACTAAACCTGTTAACAATCTTAGTCTCTTCTCATTTATCATGATGCTGTCAATTGGCCCGGTAGTGAGAATATTTGTTTTCTTTATGTTGAGCTTCAATCCATATTTAAGGCTGTAGTCCTTGACTGTCTGCAGCAAGTGCTTCAGGTCCTCCTCAGTTTCAGCAAACAGGGTAGTTCTACTTTATCCTATAGGGCTTCTTTGAATTAGAATTCACCTCAGTGGCAGTGAGTTTTTGGAATCTAAGCTTAGCACACTGATCTCTTGTAATTTTGGTGCACTAGATAAGTTTTACAGTGTCACTTCTTATTTTATCTTAAAAATAATAAAAAGAAAACCAGAAAAAACCCAAAAGAATACGAACCAATTTATTCTGAGCCTCTAGTGGATTTTCCAAAGTTATTAACTGCACAGGAGATTGCCCATTTGTCTCTTGAGGGAATGCTGGTGGTGGATCACATCACCAGGGAGATACAGCTTTGGAAGGGAAGTGCACCATACTGTGCACTCAGAGCTCTGGTGACCTAGGAGTAAGGGGTTATGATGCCAGCCAAAGGTAGATGGTTTGAATCCTTCCTGTGCTATTAGCTGCTTCTGCATTTGGACTTTTTGGAGCCATAGGGGCTTGGTGAATTTTTGAGCTATTACTCTGAGATAATTTTTAAACGTAAGTATCTTCTGAAATCCTCTTACAATCAAACAACAGCTTAATTAGTAAAGAGTGTATGCTTTGCCCGTTTGTGCTTTCTCATTTTTATTTGTGTGGGATCAAATTGACAACAGCAGCTTGAAAGTTTAGATAATAACCTTGGAGGCAATGAGTTTGTGTTAATGAAGGAGGAACAGCTTAGAGAAGGAAGATGAAAATGGTTGTATAACATGAAGAATGCAATCAATGTCCCATTTATAAACTTAAATTGGTATATGTTCTGCTGCTGGTATATATATGTTCAACAACAGAAGCAACAAAAACCAAACTATAAAGGACTAGGTATATTCTTTTAATTCTATTTACATGTTTGTATACCTAATCTCCTAACACAGTGACTGACATTTAATAAGGCTGAGTAAATGTTGTTGTATAATATTATCTAGAATATTCCCTATAAAGTTTTACTAGGTGATCTCATTATTTAATGAGTATCTAAATTGTGCTTTTTCTCTTTTTATAGGAGCAGTGTTTCCTTTCAACTTTCAAAATGAATATCCATGCAGCACTCAATGCTTACAAAGTGGAGTCAGCAGAGTAAGTCTTAGAACTTATAATAAAGTGAAACACTTTATGTACTGGAAATTTATGTATTGAACAACTACTATGTACCAGGAACCTATGCCAAGTATTTGATATATATTTTTAAATGTGCTATATTTAAAGCATATGTTGTTGTTGTTAAGTGCCGTCGAGTCAAAGACAACTCATAGCGACCCTATGAATGAACGTCTTGAACACAAAAAACTTTAATCTTTTCTCTTAAGTTCATAGAGTTTCTGGAGGCAAGCTATTTCGGAAGCCGATGCCATTCCTGCTTCTAAGCCTGTTTTTAATTCGAGAGCTCCACCAAACACTGTCCACTATGGGTAACCATTATTTCATTAGACACATCAGTGTCACAGTGTTTATGCCCACAGCAACCAAGAGTTCCCTTTATACAGCAAATTGAGAGACAGTTAATGAGAGCAACAGCCACACCCAAGTCTCAACCCCAAATCAGAAAACATATATATTTCTTCCCAGAATGGAAAGTAGCCCCAGACTGCAAGCATATACTATATATACATATAAAACATTTATGTACCTTTTCTATATACATGTATATATAACGTTTATGTACCTATTACACACAATTTTCACATCTAAACATTTTTTCATACCAAAAAGTTAAAAGTGACATTTAACCAATATAATTTAAAAATAAATCCCTTGTATATATCCTTTTATTATTCCTTCCTATCTTTCTCAAAAATATGATCTTCAACTTGCCGTTTATTCCCTGAATGCATTTGAACTTAAGCTACGATAAATAGAGATTGTTTTAGAAGTTTGACAATTTTATAAAAATAGAATTATACTAATATAGGTTTTTGCTAATTTTTGGTTATCACAGTTTATAGTTTCATGATTTTACTAAGTAAAATAATCACAAAGTCTGACATTAAAAAAAGTATAAAATGGTATCTAGAGAAAAGCGTCTCTAAAATCTCTGACCTCCCTTTACCTATTTCTTAAGAAAAATAACCATCAGAGCTTACAAGGGACTTCCAGATATAGATTGTGTATTAACAGCATTTAGTAAACATATTATGCAACTGTTAAAATGAATAAAATAGTTTTGTATGTACTGATACAGAAAAAAATCATACACTGTGTAGTTTTGATCCATTTTCTATAGACATCTATCTGTTTCTGTTTTATAAAAGATCCTGCAGTGACCATCCATTTATATGTTTATACATTTTTTAAAACATCTCTCATCAATCAATTTGTAGTGAAAATGCTACATTAATGTGTTTTTTACTTATTTTATAGTTTACAAAACAAACTGGATTTCCATTTAATAATTTATATGCATGGTTTTATAACTTTTATTAATTGATTATCATCTTCATAGTGTAACAGGGCTTTTCTTACTGCCTCTTGTGTTTACCAGTTCCATTTTTTGAGCTTTCTCTCTGTACAGATCCTACCTTTTTGATCTTGTAAGGTTGATTGTCTTGAAGAATTCCATTCATCCCTAGTGTAACTGATCATTTCATAGGCCTGTTAATTCTTTGAGTGAAAGTTGAATCAACAGAGTTTATTTCAGTTCCAAGCTTGAAGGATGAGTAAGGGTAAGACTAATAATTGGATGCTACATGGCCACTCATGAGTTTTTAAGACTATAGTCACTGTTTACCTAAGAAAATAGAGAACATTGTCTATTTTATAGGCTGTTAGGTCAAATTTCCTTGATTTCCTTAAGATGTATTGTTTTCTTTATTACTCTCCAAAATGTTTTGTATTAGTTGTGCATAAAGATTCTGATTTTTCACATCTTTATTTTTTTTAATTGTGATTTGAATGGTTTACAAAAGCTAATTTTTCCATTACAGAATCTTTTCCATTTAACCATATGCATTTTGATTTAAAGTATGAATCACAATCATTCTAACTTTGTTATCATATTTTAGGATATTTTCATTGTCCAGTATGTGAGAATGCATATTTGAGGAAGGTCCCACTTACCTATTTTGTCTCTTGTTAACTTGCATGCTTTTGGCGTCATATGCAGGAATCCATGTTGAAAATTAAATCCTGAAACTTTATTTCTTTATTTTCTTTAAAGAGTTTTGTAGTTTTGAGGTCTTACATTTTGACTTTTGATCCTTTTTGAGTTAGTTTTATATATGACCAGAAGCATGGATTGTTTTTCTTCTGTTTATGGAAAATCATTTGTCTTAGGCTCCATTATTAAAGAGATTGGTATTGTTGAAGATCAGTTGATCATATTGTTGTTGTTAGGTGCCGTCAAGTAATTTACAACTCATAGTGACCCAATGAATAATGAATTGGAATCCTTCCCTCATTGGAATCCTGTGCCATCCTTATCATCTCTGATAGACTAGAGCCAATTTTTACACTGGTTCAGTTTACCTCATTGAGGATTTTCCCCTGCTTCCCTGACTCTCTACATTTCCAAGCATGATGTCCTTTTCAAGGACTAGCCCTTTCTAACAACATGCCAAAAGTATGTGAGATAAAGTTTCATCATCCTTGCCTCTAAAGAGCACACTAGTTGCAACTTCTCCAAGACATATTTGTTTGTTCTTTTGGCAGTCTCTGGGACATTCAGTACTCTTCTCCAGCACCACAACTCAATGGTACCAAGTCTTTGTCATTCATATTCCTTGTTCTCCTTTCAGATATATAGATAGTAATTAAAAAGACTCTGATTTGGATCAGATGTACCTTAGATGTGTGGATTTATTTCTGAACTCTCATTTCTATTTCATTGATCTGCATGTCTGCTAACTAGTTCCAAACTTTTTTATTACTGTGGGTTTATAATATGTTTTGAGTTTGGAAGGTATGAGTCTTTTTGCTCCCCCCCTCCCTCAAATGCCAAGGCACTCCATAAATTTGACAGTTGAATTTTCATTTCCACAATGAAGGTGATTGGAATTTTGATGATTATTGCATTGAATTTATAGATTGCCTTAGGTCATGCTCACATTCTAACAATAGTTAGTCTTTTTATCCATAAGTGTAGGATGTACTTCACTTTCCTTAGATCTTTAATTTATTTCAGTAATATTTTCTTGTTTTTAGTGCCCAAGTCTTTGATTAAATTGATTCCTAGATGTTTTATTATTTTAGATATTATAAGTGCAATAATTACCCTAATTTCATTTTCAGATTGCTCAGGCTAAGGTAAAAAACCTTACTTTTCATGTGTTGACTTTGTATTGTGCCACTTTGATCAATTTATGTATTAGCTCTAGTACTTTCTTTTGGATTTTTTTTTAATTTAGGTTGTTTATTTTTCATTTCAATGAACATCTACAGAGATATTGGGATTCCATTCATTCATTGTTGCACCCTTCTCCC